GAAACGTTGTTCTGAAGATAGAGTCGACGATAAAGTCTGCGCAACCTGCGACGACAGGGTAAGGGTAGGAAAACCTCATCCCCAACATTAATAATTTTCTTACGGAAGAAAAACGAGAAATAAGCGGATTCAAATTTTCTTACAGTTTTGCAGCTAAGGAAGAAATCAGTCCAGTCGTAGGAATTAAGGTATGTTAATAATCCGGTTGTGCGAGTTGATCGGAAATCGCGGAAAAAGTTATACTTTGGGGACAACGTTTTGTCAGCCTCGAATTCCAAAGTTGAAACAAATATGTCATGGTCTGAGCCACCGAGTGGGCCAAGAAATGACAAAGGCGAAGGTTTGCAGCCTCTACAGAAAATCAGGTCAAATATGCTTGATCCTCGGGTGTGAAAATCGACAAACTGTGTCAGCATTCAAACATCCACAGCCTCAAGAATGTCTTCGAAACTTCTGGGGCCTGAAGGCGGAGACCAGCGGACTTCAGGGAAGTTAAATTCACCCGTAACCAATTGATACTTAAAGCTTAAGTCGGTCGCAGCATGAAATGCCTGTGAGAGTAAACGATCGAAATTGTCGTTGGCGTTGGGAGGGCGATAAACACAGCCAAAGAGTAAGCAGAACTTATTTTTAGTGCAACCTGGAGCCAGCAGCTGCCTTTTACTGCGGAAAAGTGCGCGGGATCAAGCGGCAAAAATGTAAGTGTTTGCTTTACGTAGACGCAGCTGGCCCCCACCTCGGCTATCTTGGCGATCTTTTCGAATGCAATTATAGCCTAGAAGAGAGAGTTCGTAGTCAGCTACTGAGGCTGATGCCCATGTCTCATTTACTAAAGCAATATCCGGAAAATGGACGAACACCAAAGTCTGAAGCAAAGGCATCTTATTAAGCAGGGATCTGGCATTTAAAACAAAAAGTTGGAAGGGAAAGGCGGTATGTTTCTGGGGGAGGTGGGCTACATCGTCCAGTGCTGGTCTGCCCGCTGAGCAAACGGTCCGGATATAACCAAATGGTTCTGCAAAAGATTTTGTGGCATCAAAAAATTCTGACGTAAATAGAAAGGGGTAGGACTTGGGGGAGGGAATGACGGGCAGGTAAACTGCTAACCAGTGTTAGCTAACTTATTTTCGGCTGGAAGTCCGCGCGTCAGTTACTGTATGTGGAAACAAGTACTGTCCCTAAATATTAGATATAAGCTAAAACTCATCATAACGGTTTCGAGGTTTTTTTCAAAAAACATAAAATCATTTCCAGTCAGTGTTTATCTGCCTTATTTTCACGCAAATGCAGGCCTCATGACTGTCTTGAATATTGGAAGGCCGCCGAATACCGGTAATTTTTACTTTTTATAGATCTCCTTTTCTCGACAACTCTCTTTACAATTCTTTTTTGCTCTTTTCCGTTGTTGTTTGTATATTTTCCACCCAAATTTGCAAATAGCTCACGTAGATTTTTGCCCGCCTTCTGATGAAAAATTTTAGTTCTGAATTTCCAATTTTATACAACGATGCCACTGCTGATTATGTATTCACGGCGATGAATTTTTCCGTCTTCCTCTGTTCTTCAGTATAATTCAGTATATATGAGGGATAGAGGCAGAGCCTTGGAAAACCCTATTTACAGATAGACGTATGAAAAAAAAACATGCAGATATTTACATAGCAGTTATACCAGTCATTGATATCATGTAAAAGTTTGACCATCAAGCATAAGTTTATCTAGTCTTCTTTTGAAGGTCTCGACGTTTTCCGCTAAGACAACGGACTTCGGCAATTTGTTCCATCCCTCAACCAGCCGGTGAGAGAAGAATTTGGCCCGCAAATCGAGTCTGGCATGTTTCATCTTCAATTTGTATGCGTGCCCTCGGAGATTTGTCGTCCGCGCCAGTTCGAAGAAGTCGTCAAACTGAAGAGCACAGTCTAGCCCTCGGACGATCCTGAAGGCCATGATCATGTCCCCTCTGTACTGTCTATAAGAGAGAGGAAATATTTTTAGTTTCTCCAGCCGTCTCTCATAAGGTAAACTACTTAATCCGTCAACTAGCCTGGTCGCTCTACGTTGTACGTTCTCCAGTAGGCTGTAATCTTTTTTCCTCCAGGGACGCCATGCCTGGACACAATATTCCTTTGGGGAAAAACGACCTTTCCAAGTGACTGTATCCCGTCCTCTTTTTACACATCGTTCATGTACACTATTATGTTTAGTAAGCATTTCCTAGGTACGCGTTCTGCCGAGTGCACGACTGCGATTGCACGCTATCCCGCAGATGTACTCAGTCTTTGAGCTTATGAATAAAAATACGGTGGCAGTCGTTGTGAGATCTTAGTTCGTGGACAGGAACTCTGTAATTTGGCCGCGGTGTGACAAACAGCGCACAAGACTCTTAGAGAGGATCGAACGCCCACCACAGGGTAGTAAAGTCTATCCAGTGATGATTTTGAAAGAAAACCTCAGTCTGGAGAAGGCCCGCCGTGTGGCGCATAGGGCGGAAGACACAGACCACCTCTCCGATACAGAGCCCAAAAATGGAGGGAGACTTCAGGAGAAAGTAGGTGCAGCACAATATTTATGTTTTCCCGCTGGCTGCCATCTGACGACGTCGACGACGCAGACGACGGCGACGCCCACGATTGTTCAAGGTAGCCACACAGACGGCTAGCTGACTGGAACGCATCGCCACCTGTACTTCAGTAAAAATCACTACCTCTAGCAAGTTTTAGGTCCATAGATCACAAAAACATACCTCGTCCTTCGGACGCAGGCAGAAGACCTGTTGGGATTTCGATACTGACCGCACACGAGTATGCAAGTTCTATTAAATGTTTTTTTCAGATTGCCGATAAACGAAAAGGAGTCGTACAAACCTACGCAAGCTGGTTTGACTGCTATATGGTAAACCATTTCTCCTTCAAGTTGACCTTCATTTAGTAGGACAAAGGACTCCTTCGCCAAGCATATGGTGGAGTTGCTAAGTAAGATGCACCAACGGAAGGCGATCATTGTCGAAAATTTTAGCGTCCTTCAGCAGTCCGCGGTGCTTGTCCAACCCAAAGCATCACCAGTGCGTCTGCCTTTGTGCACCACTGAGGCGTATGAAGACTTCATCGCTAGACTGCATGATGAGCCACCGTTTCGAGAAGAAGTGATATGTACATAAGCAAATCATGTAACTTTTTCTGTCTAACAGGTTAAATAGCTTGCTATTGTGGGGGCCGCAGTGAGAAGGAGTTTGTCCGGCGTCTTCCGTGTACTCTCTTAGGACCGCCCCTGTGCCTCAACATCTGCTGAAGTGGTTCTACAGAAAAGGCTCGTTCTCCGTTGAACCCCATTCTTTGTCAAATGTCTATTTCTTCATAGGACTGCAGAGGCCATTCGGCAAATTACCTCATTTACTAACTGCTCGGAGGAGCTGGTTCGAAGAGGTACAATCGTTTGGTTTCATGGGTCAAGAGACTGATACGGCGGCAGAGGAAGGCGGCAGGACAGCATTTGAGAAGGTCATTAATCATATTCAGCTTGCTCTCGACAATACATTTAGGTGACATAAGGAATTAACGTTGCCGAACTCCATCGAAAAATTATCCCCGCCCGAGGACACCGTAAGTACGATTTTTAAACTGTACACTAATATTAACATTAACATCAAGTTCACGACTAATATAATATTATATTCAAAGGTATGTATTAAGTGACACGGTTGTATAGCGTAATGTCGTTACTTGCAATTGTTTAAGTAGTGTGATTTCCCTCACATTTTAAGGGTTTTATGCAATGTCCCGTTGATAACCATGTGGTTACCCATTAAATGACCATTTTTTAAACAATGTGGTCCTTTTCTTTACTTTCCCTGCTCCATAGATTTATACTGTGGTAGAAGTTAGGGTTTTTTAACTGAGGGATTAACCTTTATTGCAGCAAACCTTCTGCGGCGACACAGTTATAATAGCGAAACATTGTCATCAGTGAGCTCGATAACACACTTATTTATTGCGTATTTCGAATCATACACTATTTTATTTCTTACCTTTTCAGTTCAACAGTCTTATTTAACTCTCTCTTCATTTATTTATTGTTTCGACATATCATTTATTGCCCCCTTTTTTAGGGACGTGTTGGAGACTGAAAACACTTTTCTAGATATTAACTGATAACTTCTGCGATTGTACGCGCTTTACTTTTATTTTCTTATTTTGTTTACTATCACTAAAATATTTCTTCGTATTTAATTGTCTTCATTGTCCGATACCGTTACGGAGAGGGTTAAAAGCAGATGCACTAGGATGTCTGCATATGTTTGGGTCACTTGAGAGGATGCCGGGTTGCGATGCGCCGTGTCTAAGACATTATACTGAGGACAGAAAAGTCGTTATCCTAAAAGGGTGTGGGGAAAAGCGGAAAGGAGGCGTTCCTTAGCGCATTTTTTCGCGTAAGAGGGCAATGGGAGGTTGCAGCGTCCAAAAACTCAACCCTATCCCCGCATTTTAGTCCCCGTATAGCCTATTATCGCTACCTGAAGTCCCGCGGGATTTTACGGGATTCGGCGGGGCTGGTGCTGGCAGGGCGTGTATTCATTTATCTGTTGCAAACCGCTTGTCAGGTCGAGTTGTGTTGACACATTAAAAAAATAGTTGTAATTCAATTTAGCACTGTACAATTATTCTTATCTGACTTTGCTGGTTTTCTCCCGTTTTTTTCGCTGTTCATGACCGCGTTTCACTCTTCTAGTTGCGTATTTTATCCTAAAATTCCTGGATTTCTTCCAAGGTCTCCGGCACTCATTTTAGGAAGAATAACCGTGTAGAGAATGAAAGGGAGGTTCCTTGCTTTTTGGTGTCCGCAGGTTGTTACATCATCTCGTGTATTGGAATGGTTTAAGTCCGCAAAGAAAGAGGAGACCTGAGTAAATTGACGTGACCCAATCAACTTGAAGGAATCAGTCTTCCGGTTATAATCCTCTGTCGTTCGTGCTTGGTTGGAATTTCTCGCCATGTGTCGGTCGGATGAGTAGGCGCGGGCTTGGTTTTCAGCACTGTACAGGGACTGCTGTTATAATTCTAGTAGTTGTTGACATTTCTTGTTAAAGATCCATAGGCTGTTTTCATAGGCATGGCCGTGAAACTCCGAAGCCCTCTTGCTCGCCTTATCTACGAGAAGTATGAGCATGCGCAGGAGCATATGAATTCGAATCATGATTATGTACCGCACTTTTACAATTTATCAATTGTAGTGGTATAGTGTCAGGAATGAATATTTGTCGACCGAACTAATGAAAATTTTCCTTCAATCTGAGCAAGATGAGGAGACCACAGCTTTTCTTCAGAATTGTTACGAAAAATCAGATTGGTTCTTCACCCAGCTCTACCATTCGATCTCGAAGTCTGTTTTAACCTGGTTTATGACAGTGACATCAGCCAACGGGCAAGTGGAAGTCCATTTTCATTTCTATCACATTGTTTTGGCTACAGTGCTGAGCCGTCTTCTCACCAACGCTGTTCCCGCCTGCCTTCGAATTCTCCTTTAGACCCGCAGTTATGGCCACTAAGGGTGAAACCGAAATATCATAAGCATGTTACGTATTGATGGGCAGGACGTCCTGCCCGTCTGCAGGCAGTGTTACTGCTTTTGTAGTCAAAAATACCATCCTGGTGTTCGCCGGCATGCCTTTGTTCACTTTACCCAGGCGCCGGCAAAAAACATAGTTAAGTAGGATTCCATCGTTTTTTTAGAGACACCACGCGTCGGTTTAACAAGCGATAGACTTATCACGTACTCGAGGTTGCTTTGGTTGTCTCAGTTATGCCGTCATGGCTCACGAATTTTCGATTGGCAACCACTGCGATCCCTTCGCTTCTAATTAGTTTGTCTGAATGCTAAGTCAGGAAGCAGTCGAATTTTCCCAACTCCTCTTAAAATTGTCTTTCAGGCCACCTCTAGTATACGCATTTCAGTTTTTGCAAACCATTAAGTATTGGTACGTTTTCGTGGCCTCAACAGTCAATAACGCATGTTTTTTAAATAAACGGTTTTGTCTTTCCTGAAGGCTTCTTAATCGGGGTTCGATGTTTGTGCTTTCCACCGCGCAGTTCCGCCGTTTGCTCGGTGTCACCAGTGACTGGCATGCCAAACGACTGTTGGATCTAGGTAACCACTATTTGTTTCATCACCGTTGTTTGCATTCGGTTCATCGGAATTTGTCAATGCGTTCTTTATTGATGATTTGCACATCCAAATGATGATTATCTCCTCAGGTAGTGTCGACCATCTTGTTTTATAAATATTTTTCAGCTTTGTCTGGCTCCCGCCAGTTAATATCTGCGTAATAATTTTCATGATCACCCTTTAAAACGGCTCACCACATTTGCAAGCAAGGGTGTGTAGAAACATTTTTGTACTGCCATAAGTACGCTAGAGACCCAGTGCATTTTCTGTTTTCGGCATCTCAGCCTATTTATGCCTTTAAATAGCCCATAAATTATGATCTGATAGGCGCATCTGTTGCGTGTGAAGACGTTGAGGGTAGCACACACGGGGTAACGTGAAGCGTTGGAAATGACGCCTGGCTTCGAACGAGCTGAAGAGTTGTTAGACACGTCATTACACTCAACCAGACGATAAAATAGAGGAGGAAATTGACTGTGAGCGTCCCTCTACCATCATATATATATATATATATAACGCCATTCTGCTTATATCATGCGTCGCTGTGCGACTGCTGGTTGGCCTCAAGGGAGAGAGAGAACCCTAAGGCACAATCAGGGTCCCATAAAAACAGTCGGTGAGCGCCCTTCTATCACTGTATATTCTCCATCGCATCCGACAGGACAGGAAGAGGATTTTCTATGTATAGTAATAGTCATTGGTACAGGAAAAGATGAGCTGCAGCAGGGGAATGACCTGATCTGAGACCTAAGTCCCCGAATTCCGTCTGCCATGCAAGTAGCCTGTTGCCTGCTTGCATAGTAATAATTGTCGTTTATTTGCGCATGTTGACCTTTTATACATCAAATTACTCACGTTTGATAGTGGCCTCTGTGATGGGTGACATTCTGGCTGCTTTTTCCGGACTGTTAGCCTGAACTGGTCGAGGGGCCGTAAAACTAGTCTGCGAAATGGTGGTTAAGACTTGAATGGTAGCACTTGACGTCATGCTGTTACCAGCACACGGCGAACTTCGTGGAAAGTAGATTCCCTGAGTGTCCATCTATTAACTCAGCCTCTTATCCTAAGTGCTGGGTCGAGTTCCGCATTATATAAAGATTTGCTACCGTTTTTGTTAGTCCAGAGTCCACAGTGTCGGAACTGTCTACTTTGACATTCAGCATTTCCTGGGCAACGATCAGGTGAAGAAATTCCCGGAACTACTATGCAGCACTGCGACTGATTTTTATTGATTGATTGATTTGTATTATGCTTTTTAGCCAGTAGTGATGGCCCTGACTTCTCTACCAATGTAGTCCCAATGTTCTAATAGCGCAGTATCATCTTGTAACCGTCTAGCTTCACTTTTTCCTCGTACCGACAGCAAATTAGTTGCAAACCCTCCTGAGACCGCTGCAGAAAATGCCATAGCCAGCTAGGATGTTCCCTGAAATGGATTCGCCTAGGTTGCGGCCGTTCTATTGACAAAAGCGACACATTTTTGTTGTTACCGCTGGCTATGTCAGGCTGTGCATTTTTGACGCGAACAACGCTTCTTCTTTCAGGCGCCGGTGACGGTAAAGTAACGGCCAAAATGGCCCCACTCTTTGACGAGGTCTACACAACAGAAATGTCACCTGTCATGCGATGGCGCCTAAAGCAGGCAAATTTCACGTAAGCTACGCGCTCCGTACGTCTCTCTTCTCTCCACACCGCCAGCCTCAGGGCCCTTTCTTGCCCTGTTCTTTCTCCCTAGAGTCCTCGATGTTGACAAATGGGACCAACTCCCTGAAACAAGTGATACCTCCGTTGACCTTGCGTCCTCCTCCTCCTCCAAGCCAGCTCAACCGGAGTACGACGTGGTCAGTTGCCTCAACCTCCTCGACCGTTGTTCTGAACCACTTACTCTCCTACGTAGGATTCGGGAGGTTCTTAAACCCGGTTCGGGCTTGCTAGTGCTTGCCGTCGTCTTTCCCCTGAAACAGTATGTGGAATGTAAGTGATATTCGATGGAATTGCATCTTTCTGAGGTTCTTGTTGGACCCTCTTCCGTGGCATGAAGTTTACTGGCTCGAGTTCGCTGCTCTGGCTGTGGTAGATCCTTTACAGGAAACTATCTGTGTGCGCGCACCGGTAGGTGGTGTTGTTGGCCGGGAAATTGGCCCATTCGACTCCACAGGGCAATGATCGTAGCCTTTCGGTAGTCCAAAGACTCAATTGGACCGCTGCCGCTGCGTTTAACGCCTTGGTGGATAGACTATTCCCGACGCATGTTTCTATTCAGTTCTCTAGCCCACCAACTCAAGCCCTAAGGATTCTTCTGGACGGCGAGTGAAGCAACATTTGCCAGATCTGTGCACAGTCGCTCCCTAGTGATAACCTCTGCAGCATCTGCGACTCCTAGTCTGTCTATTTCGCAGGAAACTCCAAGCCGTTCCACTCTCTGCCGCCCGTGAAAAAGCCCAGTTGCTTGTGATTAGACTAACAACAAGCCCGACTCCCCAGTTTATGTCAGTTTTGGCACAGTTGACTGGCTTTTGTGTGAAAATGCTTTTTAAGTAGGCTAGACTTTCCAATTCCGCGACAACCTGTAGCTTATAATGTTTTGCATTGCGTAGTACTTTGCCGTGTGCTTTGCTATACTAACACTCGGTGCGTTGTTACCGCTGCATATCTTTAATGGCAGTACGTACTCTTATAGCGCTCCGAAACCGCGGTCTTCAATTACTTGCGCCAGTTAGGCCCATCTTGCATTCTTGCAGTCGTCTACCAGTGCCAGCGTTGATTGCGGTCACCAGTGATGATTGGTTAATAAAGATGATTTTGAGAGTTGGAACTTTTGGATGTGAAGTCTCCCCCTACCTTCGCCTTGCTACCCCGTTTGTGGTTTCATACAGCGTCGTTTATCTTGTATGAAGTATTACATCCAGGTCTGCCGAGTTACTTGAAAACCCTTGTTGTTTATGGCCTTTGACATCCGCACAGTTCACTTGTTCGGTCTCAGTGTCATCATTAATGCACTGGACCCTGCTTCGGGCACACGCCAGTCAGCTGATCTTCATGCAGTTTGTCGGACGGGTCGTTGGTAACGAGATTAGGAACACTGCCTTCTCTGCCGAGTCCTATTTTAGTAAACGAATTCAATTACAGTGAGTGACCGACCTCATGAAATGTTGGCTGAAATTCTGAAATGTCTATTCGACTAGGAAGGTTTACTTAGGTGGGGTTTAAACATTCATTATCATGGGACATAGTCATAGTATATTTCGAGCTCGGCAGAATGTCGGCTTTTGAAAGCTTACATTTTAATATCCTATAAAAACCTTAATCACTAAAACATGACTACTTAAGTAGCATGCATTTTTGCAATGATTTTGGACGGTTTTGAAAATTCAAATATATTTTACAGAAACTCCGAACAAAAATATGCTTTCTTTCAGTTGTCTAATAGAGACTCATTTGTCTTTATATTTTATACCCGAAGAAGGAGTACAACTAGGTTTCATAAAAGTTTTCTAATCCCCAAATAATTTGGAGCCTGATCAGCGCTTAGGGATTTTAGTCTACAAGGCGCATGTGTTCTCCGTAAAGAAAATTACATATACTTCCATGCCTTTAAAAAGCTAATATATAGGATCCATGAAATTCTGCAGTGGAACTGGACCATCTACATTTCATGTGGAGCAGTGGTAAACAGACAGGTACGATGCTGTATGAATGGACATTGCGCGGTCTTTAATAATCTCATAGTTAGAAACTGCGTCAAGGCCTTATTATACTTTGTTTCGAATATAAAATATAAAGATGACGTGATTCTCTATCAAACGACTGAAAGAAAGCATATTTTTGTTTGTGGTTTCTATAAAATATATTTAGATCTGCCAGAGCATCGAAAATCAATGTCAAAAATGCATGCTTCTTAAGTAGTCATTTCTTACCGAATAAGGTTTCTAAGGGAGATTTAAAAGCAGTGCAATAAGAGGCTGACGTCCTGCCGATTCCGAAATATTACAGGATTATGACGCAAGAAAATCAGTTTTGCAACCGCGCTAAAGTAGTTTTTCCTAATTGAAAACGCATTTCAGAATTTCAGCCAACATTTCATGAGATCGGTCACTCACTGCAGGTAGCGATGAAGCTATGACTGCTCTTCATTGTTCCCTCAACTGGTTGAAGAAACGGCGGCCCCCTGCCACTGGCATCCCAGAGTCCCACTTGCAGTCCTTCGTCGCCTGTAAATAACCCCCAGACTTCAATACGATAGTTAGCTTCACTGTCAGCGTGGTGCCTGTGTGGCAGAAGAGCTCATTCCGCAACTTCGTTGAAAATTAGGGTTCTCGTAGCTAAGCCCCATTAATCCCTGTGGTCGGTAATACTGCCAGCAAAGTCATTTTGATGGTTTCAAGCCTACCATCACGGAACAAAGATCAAAGTGTGCACGAATGAAGGAGAGTGCTTTATCTGATATCACTCATATTGTCTATTAAGGTTATTTTCTCTCGTAAACGGACGAACTTCAGAATGCGCATGCTTTCATACGCAGACAGTAGATTGTAACACGTGCATTGCGGATCCTAACTTCACAGAAAACGCTGCGATGCTGGCGAGTCCCTTTGCAGAAATACGGCAAGCGGCGTCCCATGCTGGTACGAAAGTGCCGCATCGGGTTCCGCAGTCGAAGACACTTTCCCGACCATCGTTGAATATGAGAGTTGTGGGCTATGGGGCAGCTTCTTTGGTGTTGAAGAAGAAGACACGATCGGTGGGACAAGAGCTGTATCAGCCTGACGTTTCGGATTCCTGCTCGAATCCATCGTCAGAGACAAAAGCAGATTCGGGTGGTTCATGCACAAGGGGCTGAAGCATTTATAAATATTTATAATATGTTTTTTTTATAAATACTACAGCCCCTTGTGCATGAACCACCCGAATCTGCTTTTGTCTCTGACGATGGATTTGAGCAGGAATCCGAAACGTCAGGCTTGTACAGCTCTTGTCCCACCGATCGTGTCTCCGTCTTCAAGGCTACTTCCTGGGACTCGTCTCTTCGCTTCTATTAGCTTCTTTGGTGTTATGTCCAACTTTCTGTCAAACGGGCG